AAAAAAAAAAAAAAAAAAAACGAAAAAAAACGAACAATCCTTTGATCAACCTCTGAATTTCTCCAATTAACCCCTAAATCGGAATAGCCGGTTGAACCCTAACAATTCCGAACTCAGAACAGAATAGTCAAGACCAAACTACTCATACAATTAAAAGGCTGAAACGAAGTTCAATTACCTCTGTTTTTCATCACCGAGACGCGGCCAGAAACTTCTTTCAATTATTCTGCTCTCTCTTCCTCCGATTGCCTGGTAATGATCAAACGAACACTCAAGAGGTAAGAGCCCGTTGATGGAGAACTCTGTGAGAATGTGCTGAAGAAGAGAGTGACAGCGGGGGAGAAATATATATATATGCAAGCCGCGGGCGTCCGAGTGGTAACGGCTCTGATGACCGTTTTGACTTTGACCGTGGAAAGACCGACGCCGATACGAACGGCTACGTAAATGAATTGATTACTTCCGTATTTTTAGGGATTTTGGAGATTTTATTAACAATATTTTGTTTTAATTTAAAAAACGAAACAAATAATTTTCATATTTTTTTTAATTACTCTCATAAAAATTACAAATTTTTGTAATTTAATTATTGGCTTTTATATATTTTCATAACGATTATAGGCTATTTAGGATGCCCGATTTAATTTTTTAGGCTATTTTTAGTCACTATTTTTTTTATTTGGTAATTTGTTTTTTAATTACATATCAATTTTTAAAATAATATTTTAGAAAGGGATTGAGAGAAAATAAATAAATAAATAAATAAAAGTAATTTTCATATACTTATATATTATTTTGGTATAATATATTTTAAACATGTAACGACCGAGATCCACAGCTAGCAGATATTGTCCTCTTCGGGCATTTCCTTGGCTTCCCACAAGACTTTAAAACGTGTCTACTAGGGGAAGGTTTCCACACCCTTATAAATGGTGGTTTGTTCTCCTCCCCAACTAGGACATCACAATCCACCCCCCTTCGGGGCCAGCGTCTTCGCTGGCACTCTTTCCTTCCTCCAATCGATGTGGGACTGCCCCCAAACCCACCTCCTTTGGGGCCCATTGTCCTTACTCGCACATCGCCTCGTGTCTACCTCGCTTTGGGGAACCGCGAGAAGACTGGCACATCGTCCGATGTCTAGCTCTGATACCATTTGTAACGACCCAGATCCACCGCTAGTAGATATTGTCCACAATCCACCCCCCCTTTGATTGGAGGGGGTAGACACGAGGCGGTGTGCCAGTAAGGACTCTGGGCCCTAAAGGGGATGGATTTGAGGGCGGTCCCACATCGATTGGAGGAAGGAAAGAGTGTCAGCAAAGACGCTGGGCCCCGGGTGGATTGTGATGTCCCACATTGGTTGGGGAGAAGAACAAATCACCATTTATAAGGTGTGAAAACCTTCCCCTCGCATTTTATAGCCTCAGGGAAAGCCAAAGAGAACAATATCTCCTAGTGGTGGATATATGCCGTTACAAAACATATATACATTATTGTTTACACGTTCAAATATCTAAATTTTATATTTTTAAATACTTCTCAAATCTATTGTCTTGGATGAAAGTCCCATATCGACTAATTTGGGGAATAATTATGGATTTATAATCTAATAATATTATCTTCATTTGTACGAGACTTTTAGAAAAACATAAAGCATGAGAACTCAGGCTAAAAGTGAACAATATCGTACTACATAGTCCATTTAACATGGAAAACTTAATTAAATAATATTTAAATTTAAAATAATAAATAATTTTTTTAATTTATTTTCAATTCATCTCCTCATTTCTCCCTCGAAGATGAAGATAATTGAGGCAAGGGCAGCCATCCGCTACTTCCATACCTTCCCGCCGAGCAAAAGCTTCCGCAGAGCTCCAACAATGGGATTTCATTCCTCATTAAGCGCCACATCTTTGCAAACCCTTAAGCTCGCCGCCTTTCCGACGACTTCCCGTCTTATTTTCAGGCTACCTACCAAAACCGCTTCTCTCAATTCTCTTCATCCTTGTTTCCGTAACCGGAAACCTCCATGTCCATTGCTTGTTCGAGCTCTCTCATTTTCGGCAGTCCAAGTCGATCCTCCCACTGCAACCGCCGGAGAAGAAATCGGTAATTTCATTTTCTCATATTGTTATTTTGTTGTTAACATGTTGATTGATTACTCCAATTTACTTTGTGAGAAAATGAGTGGTTGATGTTGTTATTGTTCTGTTCTTGGATTGGATTAGTTGGGAAGCCTCAATGGAAAGCTTCGATAGATTTCAAGTGGATTAGGGATAACAAGGATTTGGTGGCTGCAAATATAGAGAATCGGAAGTCTGGTGCCAATTTGGAACTTGTACTCCAGCTGTATGACAAAATGCTAAATCTTCAGAAGGTTAGATTTTGATTCTTTTTTTTTTTTTTTTTTTGTTACTTTTCTTTTCTGTAATAGTTCTTGCACCACTGTAGCTGCATTATAATGTGTATTGATATTTTCATCAAATTTTTTGTTGCCCAACTATACACGAGAACAGGCTATCAAACTAGTTTTTCGCCACTTTAAATCTATGCTTAGCTAATTGTTACTCACAGAGATCAGGAAGTTGAGCGGCTTCGTGCTGAAAGGAACATGGTTGCAAACAAGATGAAAGGGAAGCTGGAACCATCTGAGCGACAAAAACTCATAGAGGAAGGTACGAGCATTTTTCAAACACGTCATTAGCTTCATTTTCAATTTCCGTGTTACCGAATTCACTTTGGTGTTCTCTTTCCAGGAAAGAATTTGAAGGAAGGATTGGTTTCTTTGGAAGAAAACCTTCTTAAACTAACAGATCAGCTTCAACAAGAAGCACAATGCATACCAAACATCACCCATCCCGATGTTCCAATTGGAGGGGAGGATTGCTCGATAATAAGAAAGACGGTATTTCTGCTTTTCACAACTCTTTATTATATTTCCTTGTTGGATGAAAGTGTCCCACATTGGTTAATTTAGGGAATGGTCATGGGTTTATAATCTAAGAATACACTCTCCATTGGTGTGAGGCCTTTTGGGGAAGCCCAAAGCAAAGCCATGAGAGCTTATGCTCAAAGTGGACAATATCATACCATTGTGGAGAGTCGTGTTCGTCTAACATGGTATCAGAGCCATGCCCTAAACTTAGTCGTGCCAATAGATTGGTAAATCCTCAAATCCTCAAATATCGAACAAAGAACTCCTAAAGAAAAGGAGCCAAGCCCCTCCTCGAAGGCAGTAAAAAATGACTAAGACTCCAAAGGAGTCAAGCCTCGATTAAGGGGAGGCGCACTTTGTTCGAGAGGAGGTGTTGGATGATGGAAGTCCCACATCAGCTAATTTAGGGAATGATCATGGGTTTATAAGTGAGGAATACTAACTCCATTGGTATGAGGCCTTTTGAGGAAGCCCAAAGCAAAGTCATGAGAGCTTATGCTCAAAGTGGACAATATCATACCATTGTGGAGAGTCGTGTTCGTCTAACATTCCTAACCACAATCCTTCTGGATGGTGTGTTTTATGTCCTGCATTCTCTCTTGTAGGTCGGTAGCCCAAGAGAGTTCGGTTTTTCTGTTAAAGATCATCTTGAACTTGGGAAGCAGCTAAACCTTTTTGATTTTGATGCTGCTGCTGAGGTACAATCCTTGTTCAATTTAAGATACCCAAGAGGAGTTACTAGTTCACCTTGTCATGTATATTTGGAATGTTTTACGAAGAAAGCTATTGTTTTGACTTTCAATCTTCACAAAAGATTCTCTCTATCTTATTTTTGGTTAATGCTTATCATTCCATGTTATAAATTGGAGGACTATCTTTAAGAGATAAATAATTTAAATTTTGAATTATCAAGCTTATAGTTTTGTTGCATGACATGATAATTACAAGTCTTTGCTTATGTTGCCATGTTCATGAGTATTAGTTTAGTTGTTCAGACCGTGTAGTTATAAATGTCCAGTTATGGCGCAAATGGAATCGTTTATCGGACTTTGCAACTTTTGTTTAGTTTGAGAAATCCAATCCATGATCTATAACTCTGCTTAGTCCTATTTCAAACTTTTATTAGTTCAATAAATTTCTGGAAGTGGGAACTGCCTTAATGTAATGTTGCTGTGGCTTATACAGGTCAGTGGATCTAAGTTCTATTACCTGAAAAATGCTGCAGTAACCTTGGAGATGGGTCTAATCAGCTGGACACTCTCAGAAGTAATGAAAAGGGGCTTTACTCCTGTGATAACCCCAGAAATTGTGAGGTCTTCAGTTGTTGAAAAGTGTGGATTTCAACCTCGTGGTGAAAATACTCAGGTTTTGCAACTTTTCTCTAGCCTCTTCTCGGTTTTTGTATTTTTTACGAACCATGCAGAGAAAGTTAAAGCAATAATCTCTGAGGTGTTTGACTGCTAGTTTCATCGTTTTGAGATAACTTCTCGGTCAACCTCGTATATTTTGAACGTCTATCGAGTCATATTGAGATGCAACTTGTTTTCAAGGCCTTAGACTTAGATGTTGAGCAGAGTATAGACTTGACCATTGCAGACATGACCCAGGGAGTAAAACGTTTGAATAGAATGAGAGGTGTCCTTTATTTGGAAGAGTGTTTAATTTCCATCTTTCCATACTCACTTGTGCTTGGCAGGTTTATTCTATTGAGGGAAGTGACCAGTGCCTCATCGGTACTGCAGAGATTCCTGTAGGGGGAATTCACATGGATTCTATCCTTGCTGAGTCTTCACTGCCTTTGAAGTATGTTGCTTATTCTCATTGCTTTCGTACCGAGGCAGGTGCTGCAGGAGCCGCAACCAGGTATACGCCGACATGCTTCCTAGACTGTTTTCTTTTCTCTCAATGATTATCTTATATAATGAATCTCTTTCCTAAATCAACTCCTTTAAGGCTGTGATTCCACTGTCGTTTGATAACTTCATCTTCTTATAAATGAACAACCTGTGAACCTGCGTCACATCGTTTATAGCACTCTTGTTATTACTATTGATGTCTGTTCTCTATCGAGTGTTTGATATATAAATATAATGCTGAGCAGGGGCCTGTATCGAGTCCACCAGTTCAGCAAGGTAGAAATGTTTATATTATGTCGACCTGAAGATAGCGAGTCCTACCTCGAAGAACTCATTAGTATTGAAGAGGACCTTTTCACATCACTGGGATTGCATTTCAAGTGAGAACCTGCATTTATTTGGGTTTTAGTTATCTTTATTGTCACTGTATTGTTTGAATAACACCTGTTTTCGGTTGCCCCATTTCATTTCAATGCCTCCTCTTTGCAGGACCTTGGATATGGCTTCCGGAGATTTAGGTGCACCAGCTTATCGAAAATTTGACGTGGAGGCATGGATGCCAGGTTTAGGACGGTACGGTGAGGTACTCGTTTTTCTCCTTCTCTCTGCGGTTGGGGTACGATTAGAGTTAAATTGTCTTATACTTATACATCCTACCCTGTCCACAACAGATATCAAGTGCATCAAATTGTACCGACTACCAAAGCCGCAGATTAGGAATCCGATATCGTCCACAAGAATCGATACCGACAACTTCAAAGAAGAAGAGTAAAGGCAATCTGGCGCCCACACAGTTCGTCCACACATTGAATGCAACAGCTTGTGCAGTGCCAAGAATGATTGTTTGCTTGCTTGAGAATTATCAGCAGGAGGATGGCTCTGTGATTATTCCTGAGTCATTGAGGCCTTTCATGGGCGGACTAGAGATTATTGCTCCCACATCCACATAGCGTCCTGAGTTTCCCAAAAGTTTCCATTTTTGCAGCACACAGCCTATTTATGGTGAAAGAGTGAGGAATTGAAAGAAATTCATGCTGGCCACGGATCATCCAATAAATCTCTCATCTTAGTTCTCCCATTTCTGGTACTTAGCTGATTGGTTTCCACATTAAATATTGAGATATGTGTAGCTTAAAATGTTTTAAGTTATTGCAGCCGATTACTACATTATATTTGACCATTTGGTTGGCTTTTGAGCACTTGACCCTTATTTACATTTTTCTTAGAGTAGTTTCTTCTTAACATAGCCATATCGTCCATGTTGATTGGGGAGAAGCACGAAACATTCTTTATAAGGGTGTGGAAACCTCTCCTTAACAGACGTGTTTTAAAAACT